GTGTGGGGGGGGGGTATTAAAAGCTGACCACTCCCTTATGCAGACACTGCTGGAGCATCACAAACCTTATGTTCGTGATGTGTGCTGCGTGCATAAAATGGGTGCCCCAGCACAGACGGGGCACCTTGCGGGATAGCCACGCCCCACATTCAGCACACCCAAAAACACTTAAAATAAGGCACCGACAATGTACTGGCAAGGCACATTTACAGCCATTAAGGTGAGAACGCTGCTGCAAATTGACATTAGCGTTAACTGCCACTGTTTAAAATGATGCAAGTTGCTATAGAAAAGGGCAAATGACAAAGACGAGGGAACTGACTCTTGGGTAGGAAAGGAACAGTTAAAAAAAAAAAAAAGGCAGTCAACAAAAGGCAGTCAACACTGCAGTCAATCGACTGTGAAAAACGTTAGTTAAGTGAACGGTGCCGTAGGTTTGGAGGGTGGTAACTAAGAGCAGAATATCTAAGAGTAACATGGAATTACAGCCCAGCAGACTTGTCTACCCAGGCATGTCTATCACTCTCAGTTAAACCCCCCCACCCACCCCCCTTGTTTAATAACTGACTAATTTGTTCCCAAGATAATCAGAATCACTTTTATTCACCAAGCACATTGAGAGGAATGTTTAAGGAATTTTTCCTCATGCTGGTTTTACACAGACCCGTACATGCATACATAAATGGCACAATTAGGGGTATGCAGACAGCCACAATGTGGACCTGGAACCAAACAGCTGAACTGTGCTTAGCAGCTGGGTAAGATTCCCATTCCCACTCACACTGACCGAGAGCAGACGAACGACGACCCCAGTCAATGGGCACAGGAGACAGATGCTCTTATTTTAATGCATCATTAATTATCATTTGTGAAAATTTCCTCATAATACTGAGAGGGGAGTTTCTCACATTTTTCTCAAAAATGACAGATGTGCAAACGGCATCATCACCAACGGTCCATCATCAGGCGCAGTGCAATAAGTGTGTTAGTCTCCTGCCAAGGTCATGGCTGGTTGGAGGATTTTGAACAAATCACACTCAGCCCAAAGCACTAACAAGACTCAGGTCGGTAAATGTGATGGCAGCCACTTCAATATCCTGGGGGAAAAAAAATAAAAAAAAATCTAACATGCCCACATACAGGCAGTTAAACTAGAACATCATATGTGTTGGTGTGGTGTGTGTGGGTAATATACGCTCTCACACACAGACTAATATTGACAGCACATTGCAAGCTTGCCCCAATGGCTTCCATGGAGGGAAATCCCGGACATTTTTCAAAAGGAATTGCAAATTGCATTTGCGTTTTCCATATGTGAATATTTTCCAACTGAATTTGTTCTTTTGAAACGTTTAAGCAATGAAATTACAATTGAACTGTTTTTGGTTGAAATGTTCAATGTTTAAATTTATGCACAAATTACAGTCCCCAAAAATTCAGAGCATCATTAATGCAGTGCGTTTTTATTCGATAAGTGTAATTCAAAGTGTTTTTTTTCCCCATCAACGACTAATTTAATTTACTTCCATACACCCCTCTTGGTCGTCGACTGCGAGTGACGTCACTCCCCATACAATCACGCCCCACAGAATAGACCCACCCCTGACGCTGATTGACAGGTTTCCGTGTAATGCGTCGGAAATTCAAATGCAAAATGAATTGCAATTGCGTTTGAGTTTTGGCAGGCTACATACGCGACGCAGAGAAAGTGAAAAAGCAGACGTGGTAATTGATTTTGCTATTTAAATATGACAGGCTCATAACTTCAAGAGACATGGGAAGTGCAATTGCAAATGGACTTTGCTTTTTCATTTGAAATGTGGCAGTCAGTGTTCGTTCGCGAAAGCGAAAAAGCAAACGGTAATGCAAAATTTGCAATTGCATTTGAAAAATGTCCAGGATTTCCCTCCATAGGCTTCAGTCAATAGCACAACTGCAATCAAATTCACAGAGAGGGCCACAGCCTTCATCTCCAGGCAGCTAGAGAGACTTAAACACATAAATGACATGTGGGCTTGGATTATGACATGCAGGAACTGCCCATTAAGCAGCAGACACCAAACCTCACACAACATGGTAAGCTTAATCAGAGTTCTGGTTGAGATGCTAGCCGTGAGCTCTCAGGCAACGTTGCAATGGGTATCAACTAGACCTTAACAGCTTCTGAAATTTGGGGAACCTTAAAGGTCAGCATCAACAAGAAACCCTCTGATAAAGCACCGAAAATGTCTCTTTAAAAATTCATGATGAGAAAAGAAGTTCTCTCTCTGGGTAAGAAGCTGAAAAGCTTCCTGCTTTAACCTTGGGACTATTACAGTTCAGTGTAGGGTTAAACCGTTTGAGAACATGTTTATTCATATGTGGTGAAGACGAAAGGAAAATCTTTCTTCTGAGAGATTTATTAACAGCAGTCATACATTCGCAAGGTGAGAAAACCTTCACTAAGACGTGGATTTCACCAAATCAACACCACTGACATCTACCTAAATGTACAATTTTTCAAGATGGCTTTTTTATTTATATAAAAGACTCGGCTGTGAATTTGTGCCTTTTGAGTTTAAAAAAACTGACAATATCATGCAACCCATAAAGCACCGCACAGCTACAATGGTTTGCATCCATTTAAATTTTTGAACATATAAAATAAGTTGCCCATTATTAGAATTTTTAACTGCTTAAAATCTAAACCAGTAACAATTTTCGTTTTAGTTTGGCCTCAACATCAACTGTCCATCGAAGGCAACAGGGCATTGATAGGCCTGGAACATTCTGCTCAAAATTTACCATCCAGCACCAAAACCCAGATTTGGCAGAAGGACAAATACAGAAGAATCCACGACTCAGCCCTGCTCTCTGTTACTTATCTTTGTACTGCATTAGAGAAATAATTCATCAAACACACACACACACACACACACACGCGCTCAGGGTCAGATTTATATTTCACTTTCAACTAAACCAGCATGCCCACATTCGACTGCATTGTGGTGAATATTTTGCTTTATAATTTGAGAAACGCTGCTGAAAGATTTCTGTACCACAGTATGCTAAGAGATCAGTTTCAGGACAGTCCTTGGATAACGAACAAAAAGAAATATTTTCTTGACCATAAAATAGAAGGCCTTATTCAGCCATTATTTCACCAAGTTACTAAGGAGGAGGAGTTCTGATCAATACTTTAATTTCTCTTTTACATGCCTATCTGATGAAGCAGCCAGGGCAGGTTTTGTCACAAGATCAGAATACGTTCTCTCCACCAGAATCATATTTTGTTCTCTCTCTTCCAATAAATGCCTCGCTTCGAAAAAAATATAAAAAAAAATTTAAACCTCCTTTTTCAGAAGTAATAACAGAAAACAGCATTGTGTCAACTAGCAAAATTCCATCCTACAAGCTCTGAAACTCCATACCAAACTCCAAACCTTTTCAATTTATATGTTAATGTTCCAAATTAAAATTTAATAACTTAGGATATTGAAAAGCGGCCTTGAATTATACAAAAATAAATCCTGCAAGAAATGCCTAAAATTAGAAATTCAGGGCAGAGCCCGGCCTGTGACTAAGCCCTTGCGCGGTGCGAGATTACATTTTTGATGAAAATCAAAACTGCAGAGCAGACTGGGGAAGAGACGGTAAATCTGCTTCATTGTGATTTATGGTTTCATTAAACTAAGGGGAGCCTCTGGTCCCCCCCCCCACCAAAAAGGTCCCTCAAATGAGATTCTCTCCACAAATTGCAAATTTATTTCATTTTTTCTAAAGCAACCCTAAGCCCTTACAATTTTCTTTAAAGACAAAAAAAAAAAACAGGACTTTCTAAAGCTAAATCAATTCTGCATCTTCATTAATTATTCATAGCACTTGATAAGCTTTCTTGTAAGCCAGAGGGTGGGGGGGGGGGGGGGGTGGGGGGGGGGGGGGGGGGGGGGGGGGGGGGGGGGGGTGGAGTGGCAGGCAAGAACATATTTTCTTCACCAGGTAGCGTGCAGCCATTTTCCTCGGCAGTCCAAAAGTCAACTATCCACCTCCGCAATACACAAATGGCAACGGCATTTTCAAACCCATTCTCAGTTCACAACATAGAGGACAACGGGAGTGCAGCAGATCACAGATGCATATCCGCACTGCATAGCCCATCATCACTGCCTTGGAAATTCCAATCTGACAGACTAGGATGGTTAAATATTAAACAGCTAATAATTCTGGACACTTTTCTGTTCCAGTCAAGTTTGGACACAAAACACAAATGTGTAACAATTTAATAAAAAACTGAACCCCCCTATTGCAGAAGTAATAACTAAAAAAGCTAGCAATGTGTCAACAAGCAAAATTCAACAGCCAGGGGTTCATTTAAAGTGTATTTTTAAAAAATGCAAATACAGTAACTCAAATCATACCAAAACAGCACCACAGACTTGTCTGGTAATGATCCACAAGCATTTAAAAAGATAATCAGCTACAACATATATAAACACACAGATACACATACTAATAGGCTACCTCTTAAAAAGGTTTGTCTTGTGAAACGCAGACTGCCGTCTTCAACTGGTCTTGTCATTCACTTCGTACTTTCTTCACTGCCAGTAACAGGAATCTAAACACAATGGAAGGGAAAAGAAAAATCTGACGTGGAAAGTTAATGTATAAGATATTAATTATCAATCTATATGGCAGATGAATCAGCTGATGTATTAATGTCCCTTAGGCTTAAAGTAGCTATTCCAAGTATGGAAACCGATAATGTAGCACATTCCCCCTGTAAACACTGGTTGACTGGATGCCTCTGACATCACACACAAGCACCTTCTGGATTAAGACATGAACTTCATTGGTGGCCTATATTAGGCAACAGTAGTAAGACTACTGCTAATATCAGACGTTCATAAAAAAAAGATTTGCAGTTACAAGCAAAAACATTCAAAATAAAAATTTTAGTTGACATCCGCTATCCCTCCTCCAAAAAAAGTGAAAAGCATAGACTGATTGGCATTCAGGTGTCTGCTACAAAGCTGAAGATGAAGAGCAATTTCACCCTTCAGCATGATAATGACCGCAAGCATACATATCCAAGTCAAAAGAATGGCTTCACCAGAAGAAAGTTGAAGTTTTGGAATGGGCCAGCCAGAGCCCAGACCTAAATCCACCTGAATGTCTGCGGGGTGACCTGAAGAGGGCAGTGCACAGGAGATGCCCTCGCAATCTGACAGATTTGGAGCACTTTTGCAAGAAAGAGTGGGCGAATATTGCCAAGTCAAAATGTGGCATACTGATGGACTCCTACCCAAAAAGACTGAATGCTGTAATTAAATTAAAAGGCGCTTCAGCATGGTGTGCCCACTTATGCAACCAGCTTATTGCACATTTTTTGTATGTCTCCCCCTAACTAATTTGTTTGTTGTTTTTTAATTAAATTGTACGGGTTATAGCTCACATTAAAGGTGGGAGAAGTTTTGAAATGATTTATTGTGGTCTCATCCCCCCATCACAAAAACCTGGCATTTTAACCATTATGTGTACGCTTCTTTTATATCCGCTGTACCGGCCTTTCCTGTGTTCTTCACACATTTTCCGAGAAAAGCAAAACAGATTCACAGAGCAGTACCAATGATTAAATGTTTTAGGGGTGTAAAAATGGTAGCGAAACTTTAGCCATGACTGATCCTCAGTAATCCTCTTAATTTTTTCTGATATTTACAAACGCTTCTCTTTACATGCAGCATCACGTCTTCCCCCTGCAACAGCCCATAATTTGGCAATTAAGGTGATGCAACAAAGTTATCGCAAGACCTGATCCGGGCCTGGTATTTACTGCAGACTGGGCAAAAGCTGAGATGGACAGAGCCAGTGGGGAGGGGGTGGGATGTCATGCACACGTGCACCTCATGCCTGCACACAACTGCAGCAACAGAAGACACAAGGAGAAGCTGAACCCATGGTGGGCAGGATTGCGGCACACTGTCAATCACAACCCAGATGAAACCGGACATCTCAAAGCCTCGCTTCTCCCGCCACCGATATGCCATATTTAATGGAAGTACAAGAATGTTTAGTTCCCAAAGCCTTCGCCAAGAGGCTCACAATGCTGAGGGGGTGGATGGTTGACGAGCTTTTGTGTTTATATGAAATCATTTATCAAGAGTCTCAAAAATTGTATGGGGAGGGGAGACGTCCATAGTTTTATGCTCAGATTCGACAGTTACAGGCCAACAAATTGGCAGTAACCAAATCATACCGCTTTGTTGAAATGCAATACATGAGACGCATAATGTTTGTGCATACCTGCCCCCACATCCTCAAGGCTGTCTTAACACCTTAAGCAAAAAAGACCATAGCCCAGCCACTGTTTAACATTAGCAGCAGGAATCTTTAATTAAGCAAGACAAATTAGGTAGGGGCAAGGGTAAAGATACCACCTCAAATTCAGAGCCAGTGAAAAATAAACCTAAAATTATAAACTGCTTTATGTCTGTACAATTATCAATAACTAAACTCCTGATCTGTGTTCCACTCCCATGATCTGCTGAACACATTTGTATCTGATGTCTGAATTAATTCCTCCCCCCCCCCCCCAGTTAAAATAGAAGAATGACCCAACTATAAACTAAAAGAAATAAAATAAGAACCAAATAAAATATCTTTTTTAGATTTCTAACAGCCTGCACTGATGCACAAAGCAGCACTGTACTTATTTATAAGTCAGATGAAAATTGTTTGACTTCTCAAACGTTAAAAATTTGTATTTCTGGGTCAGTTCTGATGCAAGGCATTTTGAATCAGCTTTGCAGCCAAAACATTCTTCAGAGCAGACATTAAAAGCCAATGAGAAATGAGTACACTACTCCGGGCTTTGCAGAGCTAGAAACAAACCTTTAAAATCCATTCACCATAAATTTTATTTATTCATCAGCTTTTTAGATTAAATTCTGTACTCCTGAGCATCCTTTCAGCTATAAATACTTCTGAGTATTTCCTTAAAACTATCTAAATCACACCATAATCTCACAGAGATAAACATGGAAATGTAGTTTTACAGCTTAGCTTTAAACTATATGTATTTTTTTTCCTCCAAAAATACAAGCCATCCCTACTCAATCCCCAGTAAACCAATACATTAAGCTTCTGTGTGTGTAATTATATCAGGGGTCAAATCCAAACCTTGACTCAATTTTATTAATCGGCACCCAACTTACAGTTTAGAAGTTCTGAAAATATACTGCGCCAGGCAGCATCAAAAAAGCTATTTGGAAGCCCAATAGCAAAACACTTCATCAGGTCTCGTCTTATATTTCCATATATTGAAATAGTTATTCTGACTCTAACATAAGTAGCGCCCGTTTAAACAAACTGCAGCACTTTAAGAAAAAAACTACTTCAATGGGACTTAATTAAAATTCCCATCCACATATTGCAGACCATCATGAAAAATAAAAAAATAAAATTATACATATGCGCAAGACAAGAAGGCATGCTAACCGCAAAGCGAACACAAAACGCCTAAAGTGATTTCAAAACGCGACATTTCCACGACAAAAAAGGAATGCCGCGGGCATAAAAGGAAAAAAAAAGATTTCAGAATTTGTGATTTTTAGAGAATTGGAAGTCAAACAAATTAATTGCAATTTTTTTGTACAATGAAATATCTGCCGACAGGTGGCGCCAATTTAATAAGAAATTGCATTTAAAAAAAACCTTCCAGTGCATAAATTCTTCGAAGACTTCACCATTAAAAAAAAAATAAAAATTACTCACGTTTTTTTTTGTAATTAAACCAAAGCACGATGGAAACAGGCGGTTTCGCGCACTGTGCAGACGAGGGGCCGTTTCCATGTCTCGCCACACGCCAGATGAGAATAAAAATAAAAAAAACCAGTAAAATGGCTGCGTGAGCTTTTTGTGTTTTCAGATTGTCCCCGGTCCCCCCTTTCATCCGCACGCAACACGCCTTCCTCCAAACTTGGGGAAGAAAAAGCGTTTCAAATTTTCACTCCCGGACCACGGTGATACTTTAGTTACCTAGTGTAGCGGACGACTAAATTACAAAGTTCCCCCCCCCCCACCAAAACAATCTTAAAAAATAAATGAAATTATTTTTAAAAATATCAACAGCTATAGTAGCCCTGGCTCTACCTAGAGACATTACTGGGCGCTCAAGCGACATTTCAATGTTCTAAAAATAAATTTCGAAAAAACTGTCGAGTTCGGGAAAAACAAAACAAAAAAAACAAAAATGCAAATATAAAGTAAAGCTGCTTGCGGCCTGTGCGAATTCCGAATTTAAAGGCTCCGGCCGGAACGCGAAAAGGGGGCGGAGGAGCAGTCTGGTTACCTCCCGGAACGATGCGGCTCATGCGGGTAAAGTGGCCGGACAGCAACGAGCCTCCGCCGGTAAACCTGGGAAGGCAGCCAGCGTCGCCCCTATTTCCAGAAGCGCTCCCAGTGCCTCACTCCGGCACTGGGGATGTTTCATCCTAAGCGGCGTCGTGCCGTTTCTCCGCAGCGTCCCGGGGCTGTGCGCTCTGGGCTTTTTCTTTTTTCTCTTTTTTTTCCTCCCCCCCTCTTTTTTTTTTTAAATAGGGCTGACCGAAAGAGCCCGTAAGGGCGCCGCTCGGCAGTTTGCGGGGCTCTGCGTGGGGCGGCGCGTCCTGCCGAGCCCGCGGTCCGCCATCACAGGAACGCAGAATCGAGAGCCGCCGCCGCTGCTGTGTAAAGCGAAACGTTACGGCGAATTTCACGGAGGCGACGACCGACTGTAACGTTACACGGAGAAAAAAAGAGAAAAAAAATCTCAGAGGGGGGAGGACATTGTGTTGAATCGTCTGTCTGGTCGTGCAGTGACATATCTACCAGTGGGGAAAAAATACAATTAAAATTTAAGAAATCAACTACTGAACCAGTAAAATGTGATTCGCAAAACCAAGGCACTACGGGAAGCTAGTACTCGTCGCCACATGTAACTTGTTTGCTGCATATTTCCACCTTACAAAACTGCGAGCACCGAGATTTATATAAATATATGAATGACATCATGTCGTTTAATTGAAAAAAGAAGGTATATTGTATAAAATGCAGCGAATACTGCCTTAAAATGAAATATGTAGGATTAAATACACATACTATTATAAGTTTTTACAAACAACACGTTTTGCAAGACCAGTTTTAACATCAAATATGTACCATATTAGAAATTCTGCACATTCGACTACTAGTTACAAAAGAAATCATCTTTGACATTATATTGGTAATTGCGGTAAAAAGAACATTCGTGTAATTTAAGACAGCGCTTTCCTGCTGGGCATCGATAAAAGGACAGTCTGTGTGTCCCCAGTGAGGGCATAATATAAATAATACAGAAAGATATTCAGCACGCACACTTCTGCTTTCACTTTGGCTGGACGAATCAACTCCGCAGAGAAATCAACCAGGTTATGTTATGGTTGGCCAGCAAATTTCAGTGAATTCAAAAGTTATCTCGACGTCAAAAATTTAATTGAAAAGAAAAAAAATACATTTGCTGGATTTAAAAAAATGCACTTATTTCCTAAACGTTTCAAGGCTGAGCCATTTTAGGAAATCATCACCAGTATGCGATCGCTGATAGCGATTTATATGTAATAGAGGTAGTAAAGGTAAATCATATAATATATCCAGATACAGATTTAGATTAAATTTACAATTTCCTGCTACTTTAAACCTGGGTTTATCAACAGATTATCTACTTTATTACACACATTTTATACAAATTTAATTTAGTTAGGATTAGTTAAATAGAAAAAATAGCTAACGCACAGAACGTTTGTAGCGTCATGAGAATAAATGGCAATAACAATATTGAGCAGTATCGTCTGCATATCTTTATGTATCAACATCATACAGAATTTTACAGCATCTGTACTCCTATACCCGCTTTTTTGATTGCAAGGGAAATAACGTGTTCTGTTAAATATATTGAGGCATACCATAACAAATAGGCCTAATGTATTCACTGTGGTTAATTTCTGAAGATAAATTTATTTATACGGAAATGAACTCGGTTAATAGAAATGACATTTTTCCATTATTTTATTGTAACTATACTATTTAATATCGTCTACTTTGGGCTTCACTAATTAAGATCATGTTATCCTGAATTAATGTAACTATACCACTGCACTGTCGAATTCTCGAATCTGAAGGATGTTGATTAATTTTCTATAACATAACACGTAATGCCGGCCAGGCTAATCACAGGAGTAAATCATTGCGCGATAATAATCTTTAATTCGAACTAGTGTTACTTAACGGAAACTATTAAACCAAAGAAATTGCTACGAATCACTAATTAGACAGCAGCATTGCTTCAGGCTGAGGACCAGGACCTGTGGTCAGTGATAAAATACCAAAATGATTTAATCATGTAAAGTACTTGTAATCGAGTCATGTATTACAGTCCAGTACACCTGTATAAACCAAATGGTACGCAAGTCAGGATGTTATTCATTCATTTTGGTGTTTATTACAAACAATCGAGGTGATTGTTAATATAATTTTTTGTATTCTTACGAACTCCGAATTCCGTAAATATGGGACGAGATTTTACTGTTAAGCTCGACTGTAGACGTGTATTTGTTTTGCTCAATTGTTAAAACTAATTCAAATTGTAGTCTTTGTTTTAACTAAAGTGAAAATAGGTCCACTTAATTTCAATAACAATGAACGAGATCTGCGTTTCTGTTTTACCTGTAACTAAACTTGCTCGACATTAGGCCTACATTTTTACCCATGCATTAAATTTCCTTATTAAAAAACACCTTCCCCATTGAAAACTATAGTTAACACTTTCTAGCAGCATAAAACTACGTGTAAAAAACTGCTGTCCCATTGAAAACTATAGGTGTCAGTTTCTAGCAGCATAAAACCGTATGTAAAAAGCTACTACTGTACTTCCATTTGAAGAGTATGGCGGTTGTTTGATTTATATATATATATATATATTTATATATTTATTTGCCTCCTCAGCTGTGCATTAAAAACATACAGGCCTAATGCATTATTTCTTGGAGTGCATTACCCACTTATAGTCATTACACATTTGGCTTACACATTTATACATAAAAACTGCCCTTTGGGTTTAGGAGGATGCAATTACTACCTAACTATTGGTTTATGGTCTTAGCAACAGATCATTTCTGATGTTTTAGGGGCGTATGTAACCAACATTTGCTTGGCTTGGTCGATATCTTATTTTTCATACAGTCCAGATAATACACGATATATGGTACTTCTGCGGTATTTTGAAAAGTAATGCTGCTCTGGTATTTTTAAATACCCCAGAAGGAATCACCATTGTATGCTGTTCTACTGAGTCATTTTCATGAACCTGAGAATTTTTTGGGGGAAAAAACCACACAATTAAATACAAGGTTGTTGTCTTGTGTAGAACAATTGACATCAGCTTAATGTTTTAGGTACATTAAAACTACATCATTTGTTGCTAAGTGTTTGTTTTTTTGTGTAGAGCAATTGATATCACCTTAACTTATTAGGTAGGCCTATTTTAAAACTAAGTCAATTCTTCATTTGATTTAATGATTTTTAAAATCCATTTTCCCCAAATCAGTAGCCAAAAATCTCATTACTGAAACGATTTTAAGGTCAAATTACATGAAACTAGATAAAATGTTTATAAATCTTTCAGTTTAATTGCATGTAACCCCCAATACACAATCAAATATTAGTATGATAATATGAATTTTTTTGAGCAGTTTTTTGTTAGCTTTGTCATTTTTTTCTTATTTTCGTAGCTTTTGCCCTGGCTTTGGTGAAATACTTTTGTTTAGGTCTATTATAGAAATAAATGGTAATATGATAAAACTGATTAACTACCCCATGGACAAAATCGACAGTTTTTTCAAACTAATTTTAAAAATTAGAGAAAATGTATATGTTACAGTAATGCGTTTGTTAGAATGACCCAGTTACACTGCCCAAGCTTAAATAGTGGTTCTACTAATAAATATGTTTACGGTTCATAAATGTGAAAATAATACCTTCAGGTACAAATGTATAAGCCAAATGTGTGGTGTAAGTGGGTAATACCATGCATTATCCATTTCGCATTGGGTAGTTCTTTGCCTAAACAGCTGTGCATTTAAAACATAATGCATGACTTGTCATGCATTAACCCTGACATTTTTGACAATTGTGTAATGATAGCATAATGAAATGGACATACACAGCAAAAATAGCATGTGCACCAAACAAGACATTGTAAAACACAAACGTCAACTTAACCAGCCTTTTCTCTTCATCGATCGCATTTTACAAAGCTCTATTCGTTTCTCTTGAAATTGGCGGCCGGGATCACTTTCTTTATATAGATGCAGTTGAAATCTAGATGCTATTTGGAGATGAAGGCCACTCAGAGAGCAGAATTTTATGGTTATCTAGTGCACAGTCCATAGATTTTCTGATAACAAAATTATGAAAGTGAAACCAAGCACAATGGGTACACTTAAAATCCAGAAAGTAAACATCAAGGAAAAGTTATTTTTTCTTTATTTGTTTATTGTAAAGCCAATGATTTATCAACTCTAGAGCACTCTTGCACCATGGGGAAAAATAGTTCACTGTGCAATTGCTCTTGTAAAATACCAACACTTGCATATTCCTTTACTTGATAGAGACAGGATAATTAGGAAGACTGGCTTTCTTTTTTGACATTACTGTTTAGAATTTACTTTGACAAGATAAATACATTGTAACACACTGTTACCATAAAAAGCTGACATCCAGCAAGGTTATATATGTACATACATGGACTTATACATACACATACAGTATACCCATAGGCTTATATATCTTATTAATTACATCTATGCCAACAGCCTACAGAGAATCATGTGGCTGGAACTGAATACATAAAGCATGTACACATGGACAAGAGTTTCAGTTACTGTCAGATAAAGCTTTAGAATGTGCAATATGTGTGATCTGAGAGATTTTGAAAGCGATGAGATTTTTGGTGCCAGACACGGTGGTTCCAGTATCTCAGAAACAGCCACCCTCCTGGGATTTTCATGCACTAGTGTCTACAGTTTACAGCAATCCAATCATTGAAGTTCTGAGGCTGAAAACACCTTGTTAATGGAAATGGTTAGAGGGGAATGGCCAGATTTCTTAAAGCTAACAGGAAGGCTACAATATCGCACTGCAACAATGTCATGGACCTGGGAAAGTTTGCTGCACTTTGTTGAATCCATGCTTTGGAAAATAAAAGCTGCTCTGTAAGGAGGTGCTGCCACATACTAGCTAGGTATACACTAGGGTGTTAGAGGGGCATCGATACCCTGGCAGATTTAGAGGGCCCAAAATGTACCGCATGTGAAATAACTGTGAACTGGAAATATCAGGAAGGAAGTTCAGTTGCGAAGTGGCAGCCACACAAACTCTGGGAGAGGGACCAGATCACTCAACATCCAACCTGAATGGCAGCAGGTCCCAGCAGCAATGTTCCAACAAATAATGGAAAGCCTTCCCAGAAGAGCAGAGGCGGACCAACTTTATATTAATATCCTTGGTTTCGGAATGTTGAACAAGCCAGTGTACACAAATAGCGGCGCACGCATGCGTGTGTGTGTGTGTGTGTGTGTGTGTGAGAGAGAGAGAGAGAGACCATTTTTAAATGTAGTCATCTTGAAGAATAGAGGATGTTTTAAAATTTTGTGGCAATAAATTTGTGAAAACAAAAGAAACAAAACACAGTTGGTGAGTTCAAAATTCCAGAAGTACAACAATCAGATGTTTTTTTCTTGATTTCTTCATTGTAAAGTTGTTTTTCCTTCAGGCAG